TGCCTTGAGTCACTATTCCCTCTGCCAGGCCTGCCCTGCCCATTGGTTTTATGGCATTATTACGATCCGCCTGCAAAGAAATTATGTGGCTCCACACAGGCACCCACTGTCTCTCCTTAGTGTAAAGAAATGGTGCATCACCAAACTATCCTGAGGAAATCTGTTTAAGCACCGGGTTGTCTTCTCACTGAGCGTGACAAGGAAATACCTTCTGTTCTGGTCCTCTGGGCGTTGCCCCATAGGCAGTGCAAGCAGAAAACATCCATCTCTGCAACAGAGACCAACAAGGCAGGGCATAGAGCCTCTGAACTTGCTAGAAATTGAAAATTCAGCTTTGCCTCCTCCTAGGTCTCTGGAGGAGAATGATTTGATTCTCCTGCAGATGTAGAGCAGGCTTTGGAGGCCCGGGCATGGCATTATTTGGCAAGGCTGGTCATAGGGTGTGCTTTTAGACCCCTTGGGTGAAGACACCCACAGAGAAGCGTTGTTCTCTGCCTGACGGCTTGGTCTCAGCTGCCAGGTGCCCACCCTGGGGTCATGTCCTGGCTGAGCCACATACTTTGCTATGTGATCTTGGACACCATGTTCATGTGCCTCAGTTGCCCACCAGGAAAATGGGAATCATGAGAGTACCTGTCTCCAAAGTCTGAAGACTAAGTGAGGCATTCCAAGCAAAGCTTTTAGATCCTGGCACATTTCAGTGCTGGATAAGTGTTGCTTTTATTGTTGTTATGGAGTAATAATAATAGCACAAAGTCACACTTGGAGCTCTTCCCATGTACTAGGCATTGTACTAAGTAAATTATAAACTCTTTTTATCCCCACAACTCTGAGGACTACTATTATTACCTTCCCCACCATTTTATTGATAAGGATACTGAAGCATTTTTGGGGCCCAAACCCGGTCTGCTGCTCCACTGCCTCTGCCCTTAGAGGGGCAAGGAGGGGGTCCTGACCTCTGACTGACCACTGGCGTCTTGTTTTCCCAGAACTCTTGGCTCCTTTCTGCCTTGGGCTTTTAAAATGCTGCTGCCTCGGCCTGCCTCACTCTCCCCCAGAGCCACCCCAGCACTCCTGGGGACTTTCTCAACCCTCCCCAGTCCTCCATTTCTCTATTACACAGCCCCTGCTTCTTTTTTCCTCCAGTTCCTTGTGGTAAGGATTTATTTATTCCATGGTTCCCTTGTTCCTCTTTCTGCAGGTTAGACAGCAAATTCCATGCAGGCAGGAGCTCGCTGTGTGATGCCAGGCACACAGGAGGTACGCTACAAATGGTGAGAGCATCACTGGGTCTGAGCGCAGCTAAGAAGAGGAGGATTTCCCATCAGATGTGGTGCGCCCCTACTAACCCTGCATGCACCCAGCCCCTTCACTACGATGAACAGAGCTGGCATGTGGGAAGCCCTCACTGCATGCCTGGCCTGATTCAAAGCTCCTGACATGCATATCTCATTTAAACTTACAACCACCTAGTCGGGTATATCTTAATCTGCTAGGGCTGCCATAACACAGTACCAAGGACTGGGTGGCTTAAGCAACAGAAATTTATTTTCTCACAGTTCTGGAGGTTGGAAGTCCACTATCAGGGTGTCAGGGGTTCGGTTTCTTCTGAGGTCTCTCTCCTTGGCTTGGGGACGGCCACCTCCTCCCCATGTCCTCACCAGTCTTCCCTCTGTGTGTCCTAATTTCCTCATCTTATAAGGATACTTATTATATTCAATTTGAGGTCACCCCAATGACCTTGTTTTACCCTAATTATCTCTTTAAAGACTCTGTATCTGAATACAGTCACATTCTGATGAACTAGGGGTTTGGATTTAGAGAGATGAATTTTGGGAAGACACAAGTCAGCCCACAATGGAGTAGGGGCTCTTATTATCCCATTTTTCAGTTTAGGAAACTGAGGCATAGACTGGGTAACTCACTCAGATTCACAGCTAACAGAGGACAGAATCTGAGCCATAACAGCTGATTCCATGGCCTCACCCTGGAATCAGAGCCTGTATCCCCCCACAACCTACAGAGGCAGTCTCAGAGCATCAGCCTTTCTCTCAACCTAGGAAATCAGGACTCAGAGGTAAAACCTCTTGCCCAAAGCCACGTAGCTGACAGTGAGAACGCAAATCCAGGTATTCTAACTCTGAGCCCAAATCTTTCCACTATCTACCTCAACCTCCCTAAATCAACTTCTTCCCCATAGGAATATGGATAGTAATTGGTCCCAAGAGGCTACGGAAGAGTTTGGGAATAAAAACAATTTGACTTTGGCATTACAGGGAGATTAATGAAAATATGGTTTCCTCTAGCACCTCTAACATCATGCCTTTTATGAATGGCACTTGTGGTTCAGAACTGCCTCAGGCGAAACTGGGAAGAAGGCAGTAGAGTTTACAGCCCCCCAAGATTCCCTCTCCACACTTCCTGCAGCCCCCTTCTCTTGCAAGAGCAATAGCTGCCATAATACCAGCACTTCCAAATGATTCTGTGTGCTAGGCATCATCCTAAGTACTTTTTTAATTTTTGGTATTATTAATGTACAATTACATGAGCAATATTATGGTTACTAGACTCCCCTTATTATCAAGTCCCCCCCACATATATCTCATTACAGTCACTGTCCATCAGCATACCAAGATGCTATAGAATCATTACTTGTGTTCTCTGTGTTACACTGCCTTCTCTGTGTCCTCCTCACCCACTACATTATGTGTGCTCATTGTAATACCCCCTTTTTTCCCTTATCCCTCCCTTCCCACCCATCTTCTCCAGTCCCTTTCCCTTGGGTAACTGTTAGTCCATTCTTGGGTTCTGTGAATCTGCTGCTATTCTGTTCCTTCAGTTTTTTCTTTGTTCTTATACTCCACAGATGAGTGAAATCATCTGATACTTGTCTTTCTCCCCCTGGCTTATTTCACTGAGCATAATACCCTGTAGCTCCATCCATGTTGTTGCAAATGGTAGGATTTGTTTTTTTCTTATGGCTGAATAGTATTCCATTGTGTATATGTACCACATCTTCTTTATCCATTCATCTACTGATGGACACTTAGGTTGCTTCCATTTCTTGGCTATTGTAAATAGTGCTGTGATAAACATAGGGGTGCATCTGTCTTTTTCAAACCGGGCTCCTGCATTCTTAGGGTAAATTCTCAGGAGTGGAATTCCTGGGTCAAATGGTATTTCTATTTTGAAATTTTTTGAGGAACCTCCATACTGCTTTCCACAATGGTTGAACTAATATACATTCCCACCAGCAGTGTAGGAGGGTTCCCCTTTCTCCACATCCTCACCAACACTTGTCGTTGTTTGTCTTTTGGATGTTGGTATTGTAACTGGAGTAAGGTGATATCTCATTGTGGTTTTAATTTGCATTTCTCTGATGATTAGGGATGTGGAGCATCTTTTCATGTGCCTGTTGGCCATCTGAATTTCTTCTTTGGAGAAGTGTCTGTTCAGATCCTCTGACCATTTTTTAACTGGCTTATTTATTTTTTTGTTTGTTGAGGTGTGTGAGCTCTTTATACAACTTGGATGTCAACCCCTTATTGGATGTCATTTATGAATACATTCTCCCATACTGTAGGATGTCTTTTTGTTCTACTGATGGTGTCCTTTGCTGTACAGAAGCCTTTTAGTTTGATATAGTCCCAACTGTTTATTTTTGCTTTTGTTTCCTTTGCCTGGGGAGATATGTTCTTGAAGAAGTTGCTCATGTTTATGTCCAAGAGATTTTTGCCTATGTTTTTTTCTAAGAGTTTTATGGTTTCATGACTTACATTTAGGTCTTTGATCCATTTTTGAGTTTATTTTTGTGTATGGGGTCAGACAATAATCCAGTTTCATTCTCTTACATGTAGCTGTCCAGTTTTGCATCCTAAGTACTTTTGTGCATTGATTTATAAATGAATCCTTTCAGCAACTTTATAGTATGGGGGAGGCATTATTATCATCCCTATGTTATATATAAGGAAGTTAAGGCTCAGGCTTAGTGGAGGTGAAGTAGACCCAGTCAGCTGTCTCCCAGCCTAAGCTCCGGTCCACTCCTTCCCACTGTGGGGTGGAAGGCTCACGGGCAGTTGATGAGTTCATTCTCCCCAACTACTCCTTCCCTTGCTCATTTACTTATTTATCCACCAGAACTTACTGCACCTACTCTGTTTGCTGTGATCCACCAGATTCCTCCTTCTAGGACCTCCAGGCCTGGAGGGTGGGTGGTCTCTTAAAGAAATGGCCTATATAATAGGAATGTGTCAAGATGCCCTGGGACAGAGGGGAATTCACAGTCTCGAGAAGGCAAGTGTCTTGCCAATGGGTTTCAGCCCCGGACAAGTTCACTATGGATTCAGTGTGACCAAATGACAGTAGAACATTCTTGGGGTGAAAGGGTTATACCCAACTTTATTTCCATGGTGGCAGGTCAATTGATAAAATCCCATTCACTCAGAGCAAGTCTGCATGCAGCAAGCCGGTCTCTGCCCCTGGGTCTCATGTGGATAAAATGAAGGTTCCTGTGGCCAGGATTCTCACCTGGCCCTGGTTGGCTAGCTCACTACATAGGTGTGCGCAATACATCGTTAATGACTCTATATAAAGAGCTCTGCCCAGTGCTCTGCTGGACACGGTGGCATGGTTGCAAGAGAGCAGAGCAGAGGCTGGAGTGGTGGCAGTGCTGAGGACAGAGGCCCAGAGACAGAGACCGGTTTGCTGCATGCGCAAGAAGCAGTAGCATGGAGGCTGCCAGGCGCCCTGGGGCAAGAGAAGGATGGAGTGGAGCCGTCAGCCCCAGGAATGGAGGAGCGGAGGTTTGACGAGCAGGTGGGGGTGGAGGCCCTGGTGGTGCTGGAGGCATCGGCCCCTCCTCGGTTGAGACCCCACCTGGTGGAAAGCTGGGGAAAGCCAGAGGGACTCGGCAACCGCAGGTTCCTCCAGGAGAGGTGCAGCCCCCTCCTCAGGCTGTGGAGCCCTCCATGCTCTGCTTCTGTCCTCAGGCTCCAGCACAGAAGGAGATGCCTCTGCTTCTCGGAGAAAGAATTTAAATGGCCCTGTGAAGGTCCCGAGGACCCAGATATGGGTTGGTTTGAAAAGGCAGGAGCAGACGGAAAGAAATTGGACTGGAGCTGTGGCAGCGATTGGGACAGGAGCAGTGGTTCCAGCTGCTGAGAACGAAGCAGAAGGCAGAGATAAAGCAACAGGGTCAGCCCATGTGTCTGCAAGACTTTCTGCTGGAGAGGCTGGAGAAGGTGGGTATTGTAAGCCCCATCTGCAGTCATTTTGGCTAACTCCTTTAAGTAGAACTGGTTTGAATACAGCCAGGATGACCACTTGGTGGCAATGGATCTCCTCAGGCTTGAGGGTTATTATTTGTTGTAATTTTTGTTATTTGTATATTGTTGTAGATTACAGAATTTGGTTACAATGCTCCAGCTTTCTCTCACAGGGACCACTGCAGAGGATTGAGGGCACATAGATGGAGAGGCAAGAATCCTGGAGGGGTGGACTGTGGATAAAATGAAGGTTCCTATGGCCAGGATTCTCACCTGGCCCTGGTTGGCTAGCTCACTGCACAACTGTGGGCAATGCATCATTATTGACTCTGTATAAAGAGCCCTGCCCAGTGCTCTGGGTGACACAGTGGCACGGCTGCAAGGCTGCAGGAGAGCGGAGATGAGACTGGAGTGGTCGCAGCACCAAGGGCAGAGAGGCCCAGAGGATAGCTTTGTGAGGCTGAAAGGCCCAGAGGCAGAGACTGGCTTGCTGCATGCAGACTCGCTCTGAGTGGATGGGATTTTAGTGACTGACCTGTTACCATGGAAATAAAGTTGGGTATAACTCTTTCACCCCAAGAACGTCCTACTATCTTTTCTTTGGTCACACTAAATCCATAATGAACTTGCTCGGGGCTGAAACCCACTGGCAGGATACCTCTCTGCCCGCATAGCCATCCTCTGGGCCTCTATCCTCAGTGCTGCCACCACTCCCACCTCTGCTCTGCTCTCCTGCAGCCATGCCACCATGTCACCCAGAGCACCAGCGGGGCTCTTTATATAGAGTCAATAGCAACATATTGCCCACAGGTGTGCAGTGAGCCAGCCAACCAGGGCCAGGTGAGAATCCTGGCTACAAGAACCTTCATTGTATCCACAGCAAGGAAGGCTGGATGGGTCAGTGACTGATCTGTGGGGTCTTGAACAGTAGGTAGGAGTTTGCTCGGCAGAGAGAGGGATATTGCCACAAGTGCGGCAGTGTGTGGAGTGTCTGTGTGGGATGGGTAATATGGAAGCCCAGAGGTTGAGCTGGTTAGGAGCGATGCTAAGGAGGGAGTTTCATCCTGGGGACTGTGGTGTTTTAAGGTCTCTATAGGACTTGAGGCAGCCTGGTCTTCATGCTCTGTAGTAGCTTCCCATCCTACTTAGAGAAGTAGCCTAAAATGCTATACACGATGTGGCCTCCCAGCCCAACTCTGACCACCTCAGCTCATCTCCCACCCCTCCACCCGCCCTGTCTGCCTCCAGCTCTGTCTGCCCTCCTGCTCTCCCATGAGTAGGCCCTGCATATGACCTAGACATTGGACTTGCTGCTCTCTCTGCCTGGAACATTCCTCCCCTCTAGCATAGTTCTAGTTAATCGGCTAATTAGATTCAGCAGAGCTTTAGCGCGGCTCTCAATGAACTCTTGTTAAATGAACGAATAAGCTCTACTTTATTATATCCCAATTCATTGAAAGTAAGTATATAGATAGCTCTCGGCTGTCCAACTGTACTGAATAATTAACCAGTGCACAGCGCTCACTCCCCTTTGGCTGCCGGGATCACCCCGTTAACTCTGGGCTGCTCTTCGGGTGCCAGCACAACCTCCAGAGCAGGTCTGGGCAGCAAAGTGAAGCTGCTTAACAACTGAGCTGCTCCCCTGCCCGCGGCTGCATCTAACAGCCCTGCTGCCACAAACATGTCTCAGCAGCAGAAACGCAGCCGTGAAATTGCCTGAATTGAGAGCTGACGGTTAAGTAAAAGAGGCCTATCAAAAACCAGTGCAAACTGAAAGATAAAAGGCAATTTCTTCTAGCACCTTGGGCGCGTCCCTGATGCTGGATAAGGGGAGAAGGCCGCCTCTCCCACTTTCCATCCTCCCAACACCTGCCTTTGTCTCTGGGGCACACAGGGAGTTAGCCTTGGAGCTGCTGAGTGACCACGGCCTTAGGGTGAAATGAAATCACTGGCTGCGTTATTAGGGAAAGATGTTCCTGACAAAGTTTGGATGGTCAACAAAGCAATAAGGCCTTTGACAGAAGAGACAAAAAAATATCCAATTTCTTTCCCTGTGGAGTGTCAGAGTAAGCTGTTTTGATATTTATGAATTCATTCATGTCCACACTCAGGGCTTGCCTGTTGTCTTTATTTCTTGACTATTTCAGAACAAAAACAAAAAATCCACATCGACAAAGACCAACTGTGTGTTCCCATACCTTGCACCCTAGCTCAGTGCTCAAGTTTATTTCCTATGTTATTATTCCTTCCTGTTGAGTGACAGCATTAACTGATTAGAAATAAATCAAGGCCCTTTTCCAGTAGTTGCAGCTGAAAATTCATTTTTCGGGATTGAACCTGACTGCAAGGTCTTAACAGAGGCTAAACGATTTACACCTGGTGAATTCTGGTGACGCTTTTAGGGCTTAATGAACCCTGAAACAGCTACCCTCTTCTCCCCTATATGGAGAAAAGAAAACATGGCTCTAAATTTTAAATGTGATCCAACAACTGGCTTTGAGATTGTTATTTAGAGATAGTGGCTGTGGGGAACTCTCGAAAGCAGATGTCTTCACACCTCAGGAGAGAGATTTTTCTCTTACGAAAAGTTCATGTAGCCCCTTGAAGTGCTGAAGATAAAATCTGGATGCCAAGTTTCCTATAACTCTGTGCATGTAGATGGAGGGTTTTACATGCCCAGAATGTCCAATTTTCAAGGAGCCCCTTGGGTGTTGGGTAATGGTCTGGCAGCCCTTGCAGGCTCTCCTGGCAATGGACTCAGGAGGTTTACTGCTTGAAGACTGCAAGGCAAAGTGATTTCTCAATACTTGCAAATTGGCAAGCAGTAAAGTCTGAGGAGGCCGGGCCGCGGCTTGAAGTCCCCGCTCAGAGGAGCGCGCCGAGCCTTCTCCATTTGGACGCTAGATGGCGCGAGCAGTCTTCCCGGGCGGAACTGCCTCTGCCCTCGCGGCCGATCAGAAGTGCGGGCTTTCTCACTGCAGGGCCCTTCAAAGAGTGGCTGTCAATACAATCCCTAAACAGCTTCCCATTGCCTGGGGAGCACGCAGGGGGTCTTTATAAGGCGATCAGAGATGTGTCAAGTCCTGGATGGCCGCTCGTGGGCTGGTCAAAAGGTTAAGAACCACTTCTTTGCACTGTTGTCATACCTGGCTTTCCAGTTGCTTCTTGCCGGATAGATGGGTTTCCCGGTTGAGACTCCTCTCTTAACTGCTCGGCAGCACAGCCTAACCTCCAGCGGCCACCAGAGCTCTTTCGTCAGAGATGTTACTCCTCTGCTTTAGCAGAAACTGCTTGGTGTCCCCTATTTGCTGTCTCCTTCTTCCCGCCTTGACGCTGGGGCTCTTGGGCTCTTAGCAGCCAGAGGTCACACAGCACATGGGAGTCACCACCCACAGCACGAGAGGAGAGGCAGTGAGAGGCTCTTTGGAAGGCTTAGATGGGGAAGCTTGTCCACTCCGCATTTTGTGCATCCCGCCTGTGGTGGGAATGCTGTGTCTGAAGTCAGATATTATTCCCAAACTGTGGAGGTGTCTCAGCATACAAAGGGGCATAAAGAATTATGTGCATGAAATCTTAAGTTCAGATAGTAGTTATGTCATGTTACCATTCCTGGGCAATTGCCAAGACTTACTTTGTCTGTTTATTCTTTTTGTGTTCATTCTCCACTCCATAGGCAGGTGCTGTATGTGCTTCATAGATATCCTTGAATTCAGATTATCCATGGGAAAATATTCTTGAATATGTATATGTATATACGCATATATGTGTATATATATATATATATTTGAATAGGAATGTACTTAGCACATACATATACTCCTAAGTCAACATCAACATTGCAAATTAGGAATCCAAAACCCAAGGAGGACAAAGAGCTCAAGGTTTCACATTGGGTTCGGGGCAGAACTCATGGGCCAGTCCTTGTACCACAGCTTATATTCTTGATTCACATAAATGATTTATTAGTGAGGATCTAGCAAGAAAGACCTAGAAATCACTTTAGGTCTTTTAAACTGAAGGAGTTTAATGTAGGGATTGGTTATATTATTACCAAGAGAACTGAGAAGATAAACATGAGGATAAGGATTGAGGGCAGTAGAGACATGGGGGGGCACAGTCTGGAGGGACATGAAACAATGGAGAGGGCTGCCTGGAACTGCAGAATAGGCACAGAGGCTGTATACCACAGAAGACAGGGAAGACAATGTGGCTCTCCCCTTTCCCACTCTCCAATTTTCTACCAGCTTTCTTTTGTCTGAACCACCCTTAAAGCTGGAGGAAAGGGTACCTGGGAATTGTAGTTACCTGAGATACAGAGAGGGGTGAGAAAAGGCAGAGATGAACTGGGAACAAACTGGCAGCTCATGGCAGAAATGATGGTGTGCTAAAAACCTTGTATTGTGTGTGCATGTGTGTGTGTGTTAGTGTGTATTGAGGTGGGTCCTGCAGGCTGGCTAGTTCAAATCTCAGCTTCTCCACTTACTAGTATCTGACATGGGCAAGTCACTGAACTCTGTGCCTCTGTACACTGGGGATAATAATGATGTATAAATACATCAGGGGATTTGTGAGGACTAAATGAGTTAACCTTTGACAAGTATTTAAAGTGGTGCTTAGTGTGGAGTGAGCATTCCATCTCATATACCATGTTTTTAAAAGATCTGCCCATGTTATGTGCATATGCACTAATTTGTGGCTTCAAATTGCGGCACACGGTTCCATAGGGTGTGTCGATCACATTTTGTTTATCCAAAGAAGCAACTCTGATCCCCGGTCCACTTTGATTTGGGGTGGCTGTAGTGCAAGATATGTGTTGAGTTCAGGCAAGACTGTATTTCAGGAACAAACTCAGATGGCTGTGTGCAACTGCTGTGAGTGTCCCAAAATCCAGGATGGCACCTTCAGGGTCAGCTTAAAATCAGGATTGCTTTCGAGCGTTTGTCCATGAGATTTGGACTAAAGGTACTTGATAAAATTCACTTGACTGAATTTTAACTTTTATAAAATGAAAATAACTTAGCTCTGTCCTTCTGTAGCATAGGCTCTATAAGGCTAGAGTCCATGTTTCACTTCACTGGTGGCCCCCCTGCACTGACCCTATAGCTGCCCTGTCGGTCAGGCATTGTTATCAGCTGAGGAAATTAAGATCCACAGAAGCAAACCTACTAATGGCTGAGGCAGGATTAAGCCTGGGCTTGGCGGGTCTGCCATACTACCTCTTCCAAGGCAATAGCCGGGAGCCTGCTGAGGAGAGGGAAGTCACTGTTCACTTACAGCTGGTAGTGTGGTTTGGGTCTATGGGCCTGAAACGTGGGTGAGGGGTGAGGAGGGTTGGGATCTGCTGCAGACAGCCAAGGGCCCCAGGCGGAACTGAAGGCGGAGTCAGCTCAAGAGTGTGTGAGAAGTCACTCCACCGGGAGATGCTGGGAATCCTTGCCTAAGGGCAAGGCTGCCAGGTGGGAGAGGTGGACTCAAAGGACAAAGGTCTTGGAGGGAGGACAGGTGGTCTGGCAGCTCTGTATGATTTCATTGAGTGATTACCATAATGCGCCACTGTGCCATCATAAATGGTTGCATTTGTAATTGAAACCTCTGAGACTCCTCCAGTAGGGAGATTGGAGCTGATTCATGTCTCAGCCAGTGTGGAGTGTGGTTCATTTGAACAATTGCTTGCACTTCCAAGGATGGATGTGGCCCATTTATCTATGCCTTGTTGTCTCAGCAGGTCTAGAGTTAATGCTAATGAAAGCAAATTCATTTTCCTAAAGCACCATTTCTATCATGTTGCTCCTGGATTAAAACCCTGCAATGACAGCCCATTACCCACAGGGAAAAGGCCAAATGCCACATTTGGATCAGTGTCCTCTGCAGTCAGCCCTCAGCCTGCCTTTCCAGCTTGACCTTCCCCTACTTCCAACATGTGCTTTAAGTACATTTGTTCGTACTTATGTATGCTGGGCACTGCTGGGTCATGACAATTAAGATTGGGTAGGCGGTGCTGTGATTTGAATGTTTGTATCCCCCCAATTCATATGTTGCAATCCACTGATGCCCAGTGGGATGGCGTTAGGAGGTGGGGCATGTTTGGAAGGTGCTTAGGTCATGAGGATGGGGCCCTCATGTCTGGGGCCCCACAGAGCTCTCACACTCCTCCTGCGTTGGAAGGTTATAACCCGAAGTTAGCAGTCTGTAACCAAAAAGAAGGCCTTTACTGGAACCTGACCATGCTGGCACCCTGATCTAGGATTCCCAGCTCTAAGAACTGTGAGAGAGAAGTTTCTATTGTTTGTAAGCCAGCTGGTCTCTGGCATTCCTGTTACAGCTGCCTGAATGAACTAAGACAGGCTCCAGATAAAAAACAATCTAACCTACTGTGTGTATCCATTTCTTGTGGTTGCAGTGCCAAAGGACCACACACTTGATGGCATAACACAACAAAAATGTATTCTCTCCTAGTTCTGGAGGCCAGTCTGAAATCAAGGTGTCAGCAGAGTTGGCTTCTTCTGGAATCTCTGAGTCAGGGTCTATCCCATGCCTCTCCCCAGCTTTTGGGGGCTGCCAGCAATTCTTGTCTTTCTTTGGCTCATAGATCAATCACTCTGTTCCCTGCTTCATCTTTCTATCAGCTGTGCATCTTCTCTCCTTCACTTATAGGCACACTTGTCATCGGATTTAGGGCCCACCCTAATCCAGGATGATCTCATCTCAGGATCTTTAATGACATCTACAAAGATCCTTTTTCCAAGTAAGGTCACTGTTCACAAGTTATGTCACCAGGGCAGGGACATAACTTTTGGGAGGGCACTATTCAGTCACTGCACAGTGTTTTAAATAAAAAGGAGCCATCATTTTCACTCAACCGTAAGTGTGGAAGCCTGCAGTCCCTGCCCTGGTTCATTGCCTCCTCTGTCTGTGTTTCTGTTAGGCTTTCCTGCCCTATGCAAGACAGCCATCTCGGCTCACTCTGTCTCATCTGCATGGGAGGTGGGGGTGACAGCCCCAATCACATTTATCCCTGTTGCCACAAGCTTTTTTAGAAGTCTTCCCAGTGGACATCTTCTCCAGGAGAAAGGCTGAGAACATGAGCCTTGAGCTTTTCTTGCCTCTGAGGTGGACATGGGCAAGACAGCAGGGGAGTAGGTGTGAGTGCTGGGTTGGCCAGCCAACAGTGTCTATCATGGGTAGGGGTACACGGTGATTGACGCCCAGTCCCTGCCCTCAGGGAGCTGAGCATTGCTGTCTTTTTTAACCCTCATGGCAATCTTGTCTGGAGGTTTGTTTGGCTGTACAAAATGGAACCCGCTGGTGGTGGGCTGTGTGATGCACTGCCCACAGCCTCCTTCAATGAAGGACCTGCTGCCCCAGCTGCTGGGCCACTGTCAGCAGACCCTCTTCGCCTGAAGACGGACTCCACTGCAGAGAGGGGTCTCTATTGAAGTCATGCCCCTCCCAGAGTCCCACATCAATGACTGATCCATAGAGACCTGGCCATTTTGAGCCAATTAGAACAATTTTGAAGGGTCATTCTAACTCTAATGACCCTCATGGTGCTGTGGGCTGAACTGTGCCACCCTCCTGTTCATCTTTTGAAGCCCTGACCTACTACCTCAGCATGTGACTGTATTTGGAGATACAGCCTTTAAAGATGACTTTAAGGGTACACCCTCGTCCAATGAGACAAGTGTCCTTACAATAAGAGGAGTTTAGGGCACAGACACACAGAGGGAAGACAACAAGAAGATAACCGGAGGAAGACAGCCATCTACAAGCCAAGGAGAGGTCATAGAAGGCACCAACTCTGAGGACACCTTGATCTTGGACTTCTAGCTTTCAGAATTGTGAAGAAATACATTTCTGTTATTTAAGCAACCCAGCCTATCTTTGTTATGGCAGCCCAGCCACCAGTATACATGGACCTGCACCCCAGCTTGGTTTCTCCCTGCCTACCCCGCTTCCTTCCCTTCCTCCCACAGGTGTCCATCCCAAGGGAAGTCTGTAGGAGGCATGATGCCCACTCACCTCCCTGTCAGAGTCGGCTTCCAGGGGCCCCAGCTGAGGCACAGGGGAAGTTATTGGGAGGACACGGGGAGACAGCTCAAAGGTTTAAGGGCAGGGTGTACACGGGTCTCCTGAAGAACTGTGCCTGGAGGTGGAAGCTAATAGAGAACAGTGTCTCCTAACACCTGCCTGCCTGCCTATCTCCATCTTTCTCCACCTCCTCTCTTTCCTTCACACCTCTCTGGGTGTTGGCTTCATTCTGCAGATTCTCCCTGAACACCAACCGTCTCTGAGGGCTCCTCTGTGCAGCTGCCGTCAGGAGGACCAGCCGTGCCCCAGCCTGAGCTCCAGGTCACGCCTGCCATTTCCTGAGTTTCTTTGTTCAAATTCTCAAGAAGAATTCTGATTGCCCTTGCCAGTGCCTGTGTGGTTGGGAGCAGAGCCTCCTCCAGGCCTCTAGGTGGGGCAGTGGGAAAGAAGGGACATGTGGTGGGGCAGGCGATGCCTGTGTGTCTATGACAACACTTTCCTGTTTTACTGAACAGGGACGGGAAGTCTAGGGCAACTGGGCTCTCTTGTTGACCATCAGGAAACCCTTATCCTGTGTTGCTTTGTATCATTATCTCTCATTTTTCCAATCTAGTGAGAATCAGAAGACCTTGAAGATCAGGGGCTGTGTTTTAGACTTCTTTGCATTCTCTCTTTCTTCTGCATACCAGAACCATAGTCCTCAGCCAGGTGTAGCTCAGAGCTGATGCTTAAGGAGTATTTGTACATTTGAGTCCAGAATTTCAGATCAGTTAAACTCACTTTCTCCCATGAGCACAGGCTGGTACCCCAACTGCTTGGCCATCTCCAGAAGCAGGGGTGCCGCTGGAGACAGTGGTTCTGAACAAAGTGAATTTATTTAACAACTCCTTTTTTTTTGATTGTAGTAAAATCTCCTCAACAAAATTTACCATTTAAACCATTTTAAATTGTATGGGTCAGTGTATTAAGTATATTTACCTTGTTGTGCAACCACCACCATTCAACTCCAGAACTTCTTCATCTTCCCAACTGAAACTACGTCCCCATTAACCACTAACCTACCGATTCACCCTCCCACCAGCCCCTAGAAACCACCATTCTACTTTTTAATTTCTATAAATTTGACTCTTATAAGTACCTCTTAGAAGACAAACCTGTTGTCCTTTTGTGACTGGCTCATTTCACTTAGTAGAGTGTCTTCAAGGTTCATTCATGCAGCCTGTGTCAAAATTTCCAACCTTTTTAGGGCTGAATAATATTCTATTATATGGATAGACCACATTTTGTTTATCCATTCATCTATCAATAGATACTTGGATTGTTTCCATAAACAGCTTTTCTTATAAGAAACAAATTTAATATTGTACTCACTATACACCAGGCATTGTACCCAGTTCCTCATATGCATTATTTAATAAATCTTCCCAATAACTTTGAACTGAGTATCATTATCTTCTTTTAGGGTGAAAAACCTGAGGCTTGAAAATATTAAGGAATTTGCCTATGGCCACCAGACAGGTAAGTCACAGTGTCTGATTTCCTCCCAAAACTGTGTGATGCGAGAATCTATAAGCCTCCCACCCCATGTGAAGTGGCGTCCCAGTCATGCAATCAGCAAAATTCCAGGTGGGAAAACTACAGGACAAATGACCCTGTTTTCCCAACAAATAAAATGGAAGGGAATAAAAGAAGAGGAAGGGAACCTAGAGATGAAAAGACATTTAATAGACAAGTCAAACAAATGAAACGATTGGACTTATTTGAATCTTGGCTTGAGAAAAAGCCAACTGTTCAAGAAAGTGAACAATGGGAGAAATTTGAACAATGTCCAGATAATCTCTGATGCTACTGAAGTATTATTATTATTATTTTGGTATACTAATGCTATTGTCACTGTGTTTTAAAGAGAGTGAGAGTCTTAGAGGTACAAATGGAAATATTTAGAGATGAAATTTATGATGTTGGTGTCTAGGATTTGCTTCAAAATATTCCAGAAGAGGGGCTGGGTGGACACATACAGAGGAGATGATTGACTTTGCATGTTGATCATCATTGGAACCCAGAGATTAAACAAGATTTAAGAGACATTACAACCAAATGCAATATACAAACCTTGCTCTGACTCTGATTCAAATAAACCAAGAGTGAAAACCAATCCAGGAGACAGTAGGGAAATTTAAACATCGAATCTTTAAATGATTTAAGGAAATATTGTTAATAATTTCAAGTGTGGTGATGGTATATTGGTTACATTTAAGAAAAAAAGTCCCTATTTTTTAGAGGTGCATACTGAAACATCCAGTGGTACAATACCTGGGATTTGTTTCCAAATATTCCAAACGCAGGGTATGGGGAGACTAACTGGGGGATATGGATCAAAAAAGACTGGCCACGTGTTTGTAATTATAAAAGCTAACAGTGATGGATGCTAGGGGGTTCACCTTGCTATTATGAATAGATTTGAAAATTTCTACAATAAATATCTTAAAAGCAAACACTTGGGAAAAAATAATGTCCCATTTCTATAAGTAGGAAAACTGAGGCTTTGGGAGGATTTGGGAGGTCACATAACATGCCTAACAGGTGGTTGGGGGCAGAAGTAGAAAACACAGTTTGCAATTCCAGTTCAGGAAACAGGGGTTAACCACTGGAACACCTGCTGCTCCCACCCATCCAGGGTCCACTTATTCTTTCTGTTAATAGTGCCTTAACATTTCTTAGGGAGTCCATCCTTCCCAGTTCTTAGTCCATGGGAGAGGGGGGCTCACCCCAAGTCTGGCTCCAGCTCCAGGGATGGGTATATAACCCAGGCCTGAACAATCAGGTTATTCTCCCCTCTGCTCACAGAAGTTGCCTCAAAGAAGGGCAAGAGTTCTGAGTTGATCCAATGAGAGCCAATCCTTTATGATTTCCAGAAGTAGGAGAAGTGCCTATTCCCCTAGAATTGCTAAAGGACAACAGCAGCAGTGAGAAAAATACATATGGAAAGCTAACTATGTGCTCAGCAGTGTTCTAAACATTTTAAACATAGTAACTGATACATTAGTTAATTATTATTATCTATTTTTAATAATCCCCCTTTTATAGATGAGAGCATGAGGGTACAGGGAGGTTAAGAGACCTAGTGAAGAACTGTAGCTGTTGGAGGCCACTAGATAAATCACCAGTGCTAAGGTGCTCAAGGTTGTCAGATATGAAGGAAATAGAAGAGCCAGAATTGAAACCTCCATCTGCATAGAAAGGCATTTAGCCATTTTCTTATTTGCATATCAACCTTTATTTGCAAGGATAAATGAAGAGCACCCTGAAGTGAGGGGACAGGCTTGGTGTGGGCACAGGAGAGAAGCCTGCCCAGGGTGTGGAGAAGGGGGATGGCCACAGCTAGAGAAAGGGACTCTCTCAGGCAGCTGCTTCCTCCCTGGGGGCTGCTCCAGTGGTCGAAGGACCCAGGAGTGGGAGGCAAGTCTCCTCCAGTCGCTCCCACAGGCCGGCATGCTGCCCTGTCCTGCCAAGGCCCTCTTGGGGATATTGTTTCCCAGTGATTTTCTGGGACACTTATCACCCTCCAATTCGAACCAGAGACTGGAACTTGATTCCTGATTCTACAGGCCTGGGTCTTGACTGTGTGATTCCTTGGCCTTTGCCAGGCTCTTCCAGCTCAAGCACTCTGGGTGTGTATGACTCCTTGGGTGTGCGAGCTGGGGGCAGCCACTCTGACTCCACACCTCTGCTGGTGTGTTATTAAAAGAAACCTATTGACAACCTCTCCAGGTTGTGTGTGAATGTGAGAGAAATGGCTGAGAAATATCTTGCGTGTGCCAAGAATGACCACATTCCTCTTCCTAGCCCTCCTTTCCTAGCAAGGAGCAGGCAGGTGTTTAGGAAAGCTGTGACAGGAAGGGCCACGCCGTTACCTCCACTCTCTTGCCAGCACTGTCTCCTCATTTGCTGACACACTTCAGTTCCGTCTGCTGTAGCAACCAGGCCTGATGCAGCCAGCAGTCTCTCCTCCCACTCCAAGCCTCTTCGTCCCCCAGATGGGCAGATCACAGATCATGGTGCATATCCTCTACAGGACGTCCGGGCTTCCAGGGATACTTCTGAGCACCAGTGCCCCCCGATTTCCCACAATCCTTTAAAATCCTTTACAAGCTGCTCCCCTCCCCGAATTCCCAGGATGTGACCTCACTCCCTACTTCCCAGAGAGAGTAGCTATCTGACAGGACACCCCTACTCCTGCTGTTCCCACCCCTTTTAGTTTTCCCTCCACCCCAGCGCTCTGTCCGTGGAGCTCCTCTCTCGGAGGCACTGGCAGTAATGTTGACTCCTCAGGAAAGTCAGCTATCTTTAGGATTCTCCCTCTTCTCCCCCCTATACAGCCTGGGTTAGTCAGAGTTATCCAGAGAAACAGAATCACTGATGGGGGGGGCGGTGTGTGTGTGTGTGTGTGTGTGTGTGTGTAATTACATGATATTTGGCACACGTGTGTGTATCTGTGTGTCTATCTCTATAATTACATGATATTTGGCACACATGATTATAAGGGCTGCTAAGTCTGAAATTTGCAGGGCTGGCTGGCAGTCTGGACACCCAGGGAAAACTTGATGCTGCCCCTCAAGTTGAAGGCAGTCTGAAAGCAGAACTCCCTCTTCCTTGGGGACCTCAGTCTTTTTCTCTTAAGCCCTTCAACTAATTAAATGAGGCCTGCCCCTATTAGGAGAGTAATTTTTATTCAAAGTCTACTGTTTTAAATATTAAATCATCTAAAAAATACCTTCACAGTGCCATCTCGATTGGTGTGTAGCCAAATATCCGGGCACCATGGCCTAGCCAAGTTGACACATTAAATATGAATCATCACACCATCGTCATAACCATGGTCAACAGTTATTGTGTGATTACTAAGTGCCAGTCATTGTATTAAGTTCACCACATTATCTCATTTCATCCTCTCGATAACCCTGCCAGGTAGATCCTATTATTACTCTGTTTTGTGGAATGAGGACATTCAGTTACACAGTGAGTGGCAGAGCTCTAATTCAAACCCAAGTCTAACCAATTTAGAAGATTAGATTTTCATCTCTAATCTATAACACCTCCCAACTGTTTTTCCTATTCCCTATTTCTATCCTATGATTATACACATTGAAATCTCCTTGATTAAACAGAACAAAAACCTCCCATTACCTCTTTCCTCTTTCCCAGCAAGCTGTCTTGAAGAGTTGCCATTCTTGGTGTCTCCAGTTCTTATCCTTCCTTCTTTAACCCACAGCATCCTTACATCAGCCTCTACCAGAATAAGGAAACAATGTTGAGCAAGGTCACAGATGATGTGCATATTATGAAAGCCAGTACATGTGGCCTTCCCTCTATGTATTTATTATACCACAGTAGCAATTGTCCACTGTTAAAAAAAATTAGAAAAGCACTTCTGGTCAAGATGGTGTTGGTATAAATAGCCATTTGTGGCATCTGTTCTTCTATAAACATGCAACAGCAATAGGGAAGACTAAAAAACTGAAGATATAAAAAGGCATAACTGAGCTTACGAACAAAAGAATAATTTTGGTATCTGGTATAGACCAGAAACAATTGAAATGAACAGCAGTGAGCAAGGCTGAGCCCTGGGCCTGCTGGCTCCTGGGCAAAGCAGGCAGGGCTGGGCAGGCTGTGGCTTCTGTGTGTAACTGAGCTAGTCTGGCTCCCAGGAAATAGGGTCTAAACATGTTCCAGGTGATGCAGGGGCCAGGGCCAAACTCAAGGCTGAAAGTAGCACTGGTGGTTTCTCCTAGGACAAGAGACTGGTAAGAGCTCCTCCTAACCGCTGCTGAAGGCTATAGCTTGTGTGAAGCTGACTGTCTAGGTGGGCAGTGGCCAGGACAACACAGGAATCAGGACCTGAACTGAGTCACCTGCTCACTGAGTGAGCCACTCACATTGCCACTTAGCAAGAACATTCATCAGTGTAGGGTCCCATTAGAGAACATTCATCAATGTAGGGTCCAGTTTCGTAGAGGAAAGTACAAAGCTCCTGGACAAAGAAACAGATTAGTGGAGAGAAAAAGAAAAGAGAGAAAAGGAGTAACCTTAAAATAACTCTGCAAACCAGAAGTCCAAAAGACGTGAAGCAATTTATCTTCAACATATAGCAACCAATAAATCAACAATTGATAAATTGTTCATATCAGGTGAAACTCAAACAGTAAAACAGTACAAAAAAGAATTTAAAATATGTTTAAGGCATTTCAATAAGAAAGTGAAGGAATAATGTAAAATAAATACAAATTAAAAATTGTGAAACAAAAATAGAAATAAGCGTCAAATAAAAAAGATGGTGTAAAAAACAATTAACAAGTTATCTTGGAAATATAAAATGCAATCCCCAAAATATAAATTTTAATAGATTGGATAAAATCTAAACTTGGTGTAGTCATGAAAAGAATTGACTTAATAATACCAGAGGGACAAAAGTTTTAAGGTATTGTAAGAACCACTAAGAAAAATGGAGGGTAGTTTGA